ACACACACACACACACACACACACACACACACACACACACACACACACACACACACACACACTTGTTCAAATCAAAGCAGAAAAAAAAGCTTCTAGTGGCTGAGAGCTTGATTTCAGACACCAGGGGGTAAGGCACCCAGCTCTGACACCAAGTGGCAGCACCACCTGCCACTCCACAGTCAGGATTTGCCCCTGCCTCACTTTTTCACCCCAGAAATCATCTGCAAATGAACCAAGCTAATTGACATTGACACAAATTGGGGCACAGCCAACAGGAACATCCACCCACGCGTCAAGAGGAAAAAAAATTACAAGTTAAAATGTAATCTCATTCTTTGTTGCTTGTTTCTTTCGTTTTGTCGTCTCGGTTTGCTTTTATTTTATTTTATTTTTTTCTTTTGCCGTTTCTTACTCCTGGCAGACATTTGTTCTCCTCTTCGTTTCTGTAAGTTTTGAGTCCTACCCACACATCCACGGAGACTGAAGAGCCAGCCTACTTGCATGCATAAGAGTGGTGAAATTCCAGTTGAACTAAGAGAATAGATGAAGCTGTGGGTTAATTACGATGCATGTCCCGATCCCCGTGGCTCCAGTACTGTTGTACTTTAGCCCCTTTTTGCTGTCTGCTGTAAGGCGAGGAAATGAAAGGAGTGACTCATGTCCTGTGCCACGAGCCCTCTCCATTTGATCAAGACAAGCTCCTGGGCAACCAGATGAACTTGACCCCCTGGCACTAGTCTCACGAGCAGGAAGCACACCGCGGGGACTAGTGTGCATCTTCAAAGTGTTAAATATCACCCCAGGCTGAGAAGGAGCCACTTGCTCACTAATCGCCTGTCTGTCACTTCCCGTCAACCAGCTGGCATGCAAACACGGCCAGCTCGAAAGAGTGCTGTCGATAAAAATGAAAGAGAGAAAAAAGATATTTTTATTTCTGTAGATTTTGCAGCATGATTTGGCCTCCACAATCAGATGATGTGCAATTATTGTTTATTCTCAGCAAGCTCCTCCCCAGCCTGTTGTGATGCTTGCCTGCTGAAACAGATCAAGCAGGCAGCAGATGGCACATGCAGCCTACTCTTGTCTTTTTATCAAATGTTGTTTGTTTTATTCATTTGGCTCCGCAGATGACTGCTGCACATGGTTTTACGCACAGCTCTTGTTTGCAATGATTCAATATTTCCTGCTACTCTGTGCAAGTAATAGAAGTGCATCATAAACAGAGCTAGGCAGAAAATGGAATCGTTGATTTGTTGTTGTTTATCAACACATGCAGTAAAGGCAAGTGAGCCTCTGTCTCCTCCGTCTCCACAGGAATCCTGAAGTTTCATGAAGTTTACCTGGGAGAGGGCGTGTCAGAAGGAGGCTCGGACTTCCAGGAAGGAGGTGGAAGTGCAATAGTCAGCAGCTCCTCACTGGAGCAGCACATCGCCAGTGCTCGCGAGGCTCTGGGAGTAGAGTCGTATTACAGCAGGTGGGACGTTTACAGCTGTCAGAATGAAGTGAACCAACATAAACGGTCAGATTTACTAAATCCGGCAATTTAGCATCAGGTTGTAAATTTTAAAGTGTGCAGTTTTGCACTAAAATTAAATTTAAAAAGTAGCTGAGGCATGAATGAGACTAAATAAATGGAAATATGTTTGCTGAACAAAAATGTAACGGTTTAAAATGGTTTGCAGTTTAATATTTCTATTCATGCAATCTTAAATGTGTCATAATTTTTATCTTTCTCAACTTGTTAGATTTTATTTTGGGATTAAGATTGAAGAAACAAAATCATAAATCAGGATTATTGTGGCCAATTCATGATAAAAATTTTAATCTTTTGAACTTAACCTACAGCCAGCTCTCACTCCAGCTTACTGTCTCGTCTTACACTATTTATTATGTCATAAAATGAAAAGATGTGAATAATTACGGCCTCTTGACTGTTCCTCTGCACCCAGCAGAGGACGTCCAAAACCATCCACTATATGTAAGTTAGAGTGCATAAATCTCATTTAAAAAAAATCTTTGAAAAAGATAAAACTTGAAGAGTTGCAATTTTTTTTCTGCAGTGCGGCAGTTATTTTATGACTTTAACGATCTTGGATTCTCTTCAGTCAGTTAGGAATAACTTACATTTGCAGCCATTCTCCAATGACTTCTTCAGACAAATAAATACATCTGAAGAAGACGAAGAGCTGGAGAAAGGTTATTTCATCCTGTGCATGTGTGTTAAGAGCACTATCCTGCCTCATTGAACCTTGGATAGTCAGGTTTTCTTTCCCTATCTAAAGCAGTCCACTCTTCTATCAGTGAGAATGAAAGAGATGTAATAATGGCTCCAAGTTTCTGTAGGGATGTTGAGCCCACCTGACATATAGCACACCTGAAGTAAGGAAACAGAGAAACCAGTTTGCTAACAGAAAGAAGAAGGTTAGGATGAGGTGATCAAATCAATGTGTGGAAAAAGTCAAAAGAAGCAGGTGAATAAAGACAACATATACGTAGATGATTTACTGACATATTGAGCATTAAAATCACCCTCTGACAGCTGAGGTTCGCAGCTGCTTTAGATGCTTCTCTAGTTGGGATTTGATCCACAGCTCCAGGTTGGTCCACGTGGTGCCTGTCTCCGCCACCCTGGCAGCTTGGCTCTCCTGCCCCATTATCATCTCATTTACTACTCCAATGGGAAGTTACATACACACCACTGCACCTGGATGGCTACAATATGGCACCACTTACCAAGCCCATTCACTACGGGGAGCGAGGACGAAGGGGCAGCAGCTCTCTGAAATGAATGGGATGGAAGTAAAACGGGAGGAAATAAAGGAGACTAAATTTTTACACTAAACCACTGTCCAAGACTGCACTGTATTATTCATCTAATAAATCTCCTGTAGGTAAATCAGTATTAACTCCTCATCCATGAAGAACCAATTTTAGCTTCCTACTGCAAGTAATTCTAAATGAGATAAAATGAGAGAGAGAGAGAATAAAAATCTGTAGCAGTTACACAAGATTAAAAGTTCTCACTTAGGTGTTAGAAAAAGACGCTGACGTTCAGTTCGAGTTAACTTGATCTGAGTGCATCAGAGGAAAGGTTCAGAAAAAAAAAAGCGGTGGCGAGAGCAAGCGGGTTGAGGGGAGGGGAGTGGTTGACTCCCCCCGGACTAGATCAGCATAATAATGAAAGGATTTAACTATGCTTATCATCAGAGAGTGGGCTCAAGGCTTGGAAATTGGGCCAGGCGTGTGGGTTGAATTGTGTGTATGTATGGCAGATCGGGAGTGCGTGGACTCAATTTCACCACAGAGAGACAATAAAAGTCTCGGTATTGTCTGCTGCGCTCAAGAAGCGTTCCCTTTTGCCAATATTTGTGCGACTGTCAACGTCTCGCTCCCTGTCGTTTTTTTTGTCCGTCAGAGGGTGTTCGAGCAGCGAGACGGAGAGCGAGGCCGGAGATTTGTTGGACCAGCAGTTCGAGGAGCTTAACAACAAGCTCAACTCTGTAACGGATCCAACGGGCTTCCTGCGCATGGTGTCGAGAAACAACTTGTTCAACAGGTAGGGGGGTTGTTGCTCATCACCTGAACGATTCCAGCTGTCTTAATCACCCAACTCAAACCTCCTTTCCTACAACAAAAGGATCAAACACTATCCGCCCCGGGTAAGGAGATTCATGGGTATTGTGACGGATCTGTGAAAGGCCTCTTTGCAATTGTTTCACCAGAGCAGAGGCAGCATGTGAATCCCTCCTTGTTAAACAGTCGAAATAAAGCCAAGCTGCTAAATCCCTTATCAGCCTTGCTCCTCTGATGAAGCCCTGTGTGTGCGTGGATGTGTTCATGCATGTGCAGACTTGTGTATGTCTTTTTATGACATTAATTGCGCAGATTTATGAGTTCTTGCTGAAACTATCTTTGGCCTCTGCATAGTGCCATTTTCTGAAAATATGCAAACTATCCTAGAACATTGTACTGACTGACAATGTATACAAGTGGAAAGTGTGTGTGTGCGTGTCTAGGTCATATTTTCTTGTCCTATTGCACAGTTGAGCTGCACTTTGACGAGGGGGTAATTCCATCTTTAATTGACTCTCTGTGCTCATTAAGCCCCTTTAATGGGCTGCCGGTAATAATCCGCTCATTCTTTTGGGCCTTAAAAAAACTAAAAAAAAATTATAATGCTGCACACGCTTTGAATACACTCTTCTATCACCATGAAAAAGCCTGAGAAAATGAAGAAGATTTTACAACCATTTCCAGACAATCACCTAGAGGTTTGGTATCATGTTACCAGCATGTATGTGTCTACAACTGCCCTTTTTTTCACTCTGTTGTTCTTGTTCCTTCACATGTAGTGGTTCTATTATTCATTACAGTAGAATGAATATACATGAAGCCTAGTTTTTGACCAGAAAAAATGCATCTTAAATAAATTTAAAAAAAACTCCATTTGATCAAAATGTGTTCCTGAACAGTCTACTCAGCATAAAAACAGATTTGTCAATTACCCTCTTTTATCGCTAATCTTCACAGAGAAGCTTGGCAGGATTACTGTGAGAAGGTGATGATGAAAGTCTCTGTTTGTCTAATCCTATCAGTGTGTAACTCAATAAGTCATTATGCACATTCGTCCCATAATGAGATTGTTTGATGATCGTGATGAAGTTGTCAGTTAAGAGGCAGCAGAGACTCATTAAAATGCGACGTCTGCTTTGAAAGGGTTAAGTTGCCACAAAGTTAAGGAAAAAAAACACTCATTATTTTATCCAGTCATTATAAAAGGAGGTCAGTGTGCAGCCTTGGTTGACTGGTTTACATTCCTGAGCTCTCAGATCATACTTAAGGACCACTCTTTCAACTGCAGGCTGAACAAAGCCTCCACCTTCACCCTCGGTGCCCTCAGCCTTTTCTAGTCACTGTTTTGCTCTGCACTCTGCACTCACCTTCTCCTGGCCGACATCTTGCCTCCTCTCTCATTCCTTCTGTCAGGCTAACAAACGATTGTTTTTCTTTCTCTCGGATGCTCATGCCAGAGCCTGGGAGAGAGACAGAGAGGCTGGAGGAAAGCCTGTGGCCTGGGGCTTTCTGACGGGGGCAGCATAGATGTCTGTTCAATGGGTTCTTGGAGGGAACTCGGGCTGGTGGAGCAGATGGAGAGCAGTGACAAGTGCAGGCATGAAACTGGGCCCCACAGGGCCAAGCAGAAGACTTGTAACCTCAGGGCCACCATTAGCACAGTTCTCAGTGTGCTGGGTCCTGAGATGTTAGCTGTTAACGTCCATCACATGATAGGCATGACTCACAAAACTGGAATGTTTCTTTATATTGCTTTACTCAGAATATTGCTGCACAATAAATGTATAAATCTAGAAAACGAAGGGGGGAAAAAGGAACACTGTGTTTCTCTCCACCTCCAGTGGCTCTGTCAAGCTCAGTTCTTTTGATCTCACTCGGGCAGAGCAGTATAACACTGCAACCTAGTGGAGCCGGACATAGTTACAGCTTCATTTGAGGGAAAATTTGCCTGCCAGTTTATTTATTGTGAGCTTAAGCTTCAAATGAATCTAACCTAGTTTTCCTTAGAGCAAAAAGAAAGTAATTTAAAAGAAATTTGTGCCACTGCTGCTGAGAATTTAATTACTCTCTTCCACATCAGATAAACAATCTACCTGATGTGATAAGAGGTTGATGCTGAACCTTTTCAGCTAGTTTCCAGTTTGTTTAAATAGTATTAGATTAGATAGACCTTTATTGTCATTGTACAGAGCACGATGAAATTACAGTTCAGAAAATGAGACAAAAATATTCAGAAGATTTGATTTTAAAGAAAGAAATGAAGTTCAGGGGAAAAGTGTGATGTGTGCTTTTGTTCAAACTTAAAGCTAATCACTAGGTGGTAATTTTTACAAGAAACACAATGTGGTTGATATAGGACAAGGGTGTCAGATTCCTTTTCACAGAGGGCCCTGTTAGCATTATGGTTGCCCTCAAAGGGCCAGTTGTAAAAAACTTTAATGTTTCATGGTTAACTTTGACTAAACATGAAATGTCTCATTGCTACAGTGGAGCACCGCTAACAAACAATACCTGAGCTCTACGCAGTATTTCTTGCATAGAACCAGCGTTTAAACACACACTCTTATAAACATTGAAAAGTACTATGTGTACAACAGACTAAATGTGAAATAAATAATACAGAAATATGATTAAAAGTAAAAGGAAGAGAGTTTTACTCACAAATGGGTTGTGGTGAGTAGCTGCCGTATCAAATTCGGCACTGTCCCACTTTCCAACAGGAAATTCCCACTGGAGGAGAACTCCAGATTAAATTTATGACTTTAAATGTGGAAATTCCCACTTCCCCAGTACAGCTGGGCTGCAGCAAAAGTAGCCGGCAGCTGGTGAAATTTGCTGTGTAAAATCTCCACTTCACTGCATTTTTGCTGGATGCTGGCAACTTTTTGAACCCTGTGCACATCCACCTAGTGGTGGGATGTGATCATTTCATGGGTAAACTAATTTACATGCATAATGGGCGATGTAGTTTATCATCAGTGCTGGCTTTAAAGAAGCATACGCTTATTTTAAGACATTATTACAGTTTTTGAACCTCTCGGAGAGGGCCACACCTGCTACCTTGAGTTTGACACGTGGTATGGGAGCTCTTAATTTAATTTACTTATTTTTAATGGATTTCTGTTATTCTTCAAATATTTAAAACTCTGCTTGGAGAGATTATTGTTTTGTAACTTAAAAAGAAATCCAGATAAGTATAACATGTATTAAACATCTCAGGTAGAAGATTTTGCTAAGCTGTCTTAAATTGTTTGTTTGAAAGTATTCAAAGTGAAAACCACATTATTTTGTGTTTTATCTATTCAGGAGTTGCCAGAGTATGACCAGCCTCTTCAGTAACACCATGTCTCCAGCCAAAGATGGTAACTCTTCCCTGTCTCGTCGTGCCAGCAACCTTGGCAAACCTCCCCTTCGAGCACTGTATGACTTACTTATTGCACCTATGGAAGGGGTGAGTGTTATCTGTGCAGCTCATTGTTTGTCTGTTTATAGTTTTGTTAATGAAATAACCTGATAATCTGAATTTGGTGCTAATAAAAAAAATAAAATAAAAAAAGCTCCACAATGTGACATTTGAGTATTTTCATTCTAATCCCTTGTGTTGACAGGGCCTGATGCACTCCAGTGGGCCTGTTGGCAGACACAGACAGCTGGTGATGGTTCTGGAAGGCGAGCTGTACCTCATCCCATTTGCCTTGCTGAAAGGAAGCTCATCCAATGAATACCTTTACGAGCGTTTCAGCCTCATTGCCGTGCCCTCCATCCATGGCCTTGGATCCAGTGCAAAGGTTTAAATTCCCATTCGGTTGACTTTAAACAATGGCGTACCTTTAACAGTTGAATAAATCTCTAAACCGCTGTCCTTGGACTGCTGCGGCTTGGAATGTAAACTTTGTCGCTCTGTTCTTAGACTCACTCTCGGCGTCCTGGACCAGCTCCGAGTGGCGGAGTCTCGATGGCAGCAGTGGTGGGAAACCCTAAGCTGCCTTCACCTGTGATGGACCGCTGGCTTTGGGGACCGATGCCCACCGCAGAGGAGGAAGCGCTAATGGTGGCCGAGCTGTTGGGATGCCAGCCTCTGACCAGCTCTGCTGCCACCAAGGAGAGGGTGATGAGTGCCCTCACGCAAGCCGAATGCGCGCACTTCGCCACCCACATTTCCTGGAAACTGGCAGCCCTGGTGCTCACCCCAAACCCCGAGGGTGTCCCCGGAGGAGCAGGAGCCAGCGTAGGAGCGGGGACAATGGGCAGAGGTGTGGGAGGAAGACGAGGCAGCAGTGGCCGAGGCAGGAAGGGCTCCACTGGAAGTGGCTACACCGTCCCGGAGTCTCTCCACATGCAGGATGACGGCAGTGACGTGGAGAGCATCTGTGACAGTCCGCCCCTTCAGGAGTTCCTGCTCACGGCTGCAGATATACTGGACCTGAGGCTGCCTGTCAAGCTGGTGGTGCTGGGGTACGTTGACTGGTTAGAAAAGCTAATTTAAAAACAGTGAACTCTTAGAAATAAGTCCAAATGTATTGATTCTTGAACATATTAAGTTGTAAGATGTTTTATAACTACTGAGTTGATTTACCCATGAGCTGTATCTGGCTGACAGGTCATACCAAGAGTCTAGCAGCAAAGTCACAGCAGACGGTGTCGTTGGACTGACCAGAGCCTTCCTGGCAGCCGGCGCTCAGTGTGTTCTTGTGTCCTTGTGGCCTGTACCTGTCGCAGCCTCCAAGGTTTTCGTTCATGCTTTCTACTCCGCCCTGCTCAATGGGACCAAGGCTAGTGCAGCACTAGCTGATGCCATGAAAACAGTCCAGAGCAGCAAACAGTACTCCCACCCATCCAACTGGGCAGGTTAGAGATGCCATTCTTTTTTTTTTCTTTCCTTTTTTTTTTGTATTTCTTCAACCTTAGCTTAACAAAAAAAAGAGGATGTTGAAAATAATTCCTTTTTTCACCCCCATCCTTCAGGATACATGCTGATTGGTAATGATGTGAAGCTGAACAGCCCGTCTTCTCTAATTGGCCAAGCCTTGGCCGAGATTCTGCAATATCCAGATCGAGCTCGTGATGCACTGAGGGTTTTACTTCACCTGGTGAGACACGGACACGCACACACACACAGATGGGAAAAACCACCAAACACACAAAACAAACTGATGCACTGCTTCCTTTTAGGTGGAGAAGTCTCTTCAGAGGATCCAGAATGGACAACGTAATTCCATGTACACGTCCCAGCAGAGTGTGGAAAACAAGGTGGGGGGCGTCCCTGGCTGGCAGGCCCTGCTGACCGCTGTGGGCTTCCGTCTTGACTCTGCAGGCACCGGTATTCCTGCTGCTGTCTTCTTTCCCACTGCTGACCCTGGGGACAGGCTCCAGCAGTGCAGTACCACCTTACAGTCACTGTTGGGTATGTTGAAACAATCTATGCATCAAGAATTATAATCTGACAAGTTTATATGTTTCAAAATTGATGCAAAGGTTCAAGCAACTAAAGGTGAGGATTCTATTAAAAAGAATCCAATAATCCAATAATTCAGTTAAACATTGATTAAATAATTTCACACAATATGCTGACCACCATCTGCTTTTTAAGGCAATACAAGTTAAATCGGGTTCCCAGTATGTTCATCTAAATCCAAACTGGCAGCAAAGCAGAATTAAAATCAGAACTTTGTGAGCAGTTTTATTATAGTTAGTTTGACTATATACAAATTTTAGAGTATCTTACTGAGAGTATCATTGTCCTGCTACAGAAGCAATGCTTGTGCCAATCACCTAAATTATTTGAATGTTTGATAGGTACAAGCAAAATGAAAAATCTAAAGTACTTAAAACTCCTGTACTTAGCGCTTGGATTACTTGTCATTTTCAGTGCACATTTTAAGTTGCAAATAAAGTGTCTTTTATGAATAATGAAGAACTTTTTTTTGTTTTCATCCCTCAGGTCTGCCACCACCAGCTCTCCAAGCTTTGTGCAAACTCATCACAGCTTCTGAAGCAGGAGAGCAGCTCATCAACCGGGTAGGGCTCTGCACCTTTGAACAAATGCTTTTGGATTTTGGCTTTTTAGATCAAATTCTATTCACAAATATAATTATTACATAAAAATTACTAAATGCACTAAGGCAGATTTTCCTTGCAACTTTGTTCGGCTTACAGCAAACTTTCCTGCTAGAAAAAACTGATCAGAAACATGCAAGTGCAGCAGAAATATTTGTTCTGTCCTAATCTGTACTGAGATGTTGCCTAACTAGCAGCACCTCCAGTACAAAGTTCAGTTACAAAGTGGGTCCTTTATTCTCCTTTGTTATATCAGAGGATTAATTTTGCAGGGCAGAGGTTTAGCCTTGCACATTTATAATACAAGGCAATCAGTTGTGATTTGCAGTTTAAGTGCACAAACTCATGTTCAGCCTAGATGATTGCGTATGTTATCTGTTATATTAAGCACTTTACTTGTTGCTATTTTTCTTCTTGAACTTAAGCCTTTGTACCGTTTTGTGTATGGCCTGTATGCATGCGACTAAAAGCCTATTCTCTCTTTCTTGCACCCCGCTTGTTGTCTGAAGGCTGTTAAAAATATGGTGGCCATGGTAAGTGTGCATTCACCCGCCTGCACTTCTGTCCATTCTGCTGCTGTGTCTCCTTTCTACACTTTTTCCCTGCTAGACTAAAACTATTCCACTTTCTATACAGATGCTGAATGACAATGTTATATTCTGTTTTCTTTTGATGCTTTAAGTGTTTGCATGCCTTTTTCTACTTCTGATCCGTAAAGTCTGATTTAGGGGATTTTGATTACTTTAGGATTTACAGCACTGGTTCATTTAAGGTCAGAAGAAAAACAAGTTTTAGGACAGACAAAGAAAGAAAAATGGGCAAAGAAAAAGCTTGGCTCCACCAAGGATGACAAGACACATTTTGTGCACAGTTTTATCAAGCTACACTGCAAAAATTGTCCACCTAACCAAGTCTTTTAATCTTATATTCAGCTAAAATAAATAAAGTTATTATTATTATTAAAATGTTTTCTTGTTTTGATACTTACATACTAACCAAGAGCAGAATGTGCTAGATTATTTATATTTCATGTTTCATGTTGCAGTTCTTCATTCATTTCATTAAAACAAAACAAATTTATATACAATATACAATAAAAAGAAAAGTATATAAAGACAAATGAGAGGAAAAAAAAATATATATATATATGTGTGTGTG